GAATACTTTCTGTACCCACTGTACTTACACATGGGAAGTACAGTTAGCATTAGGGGGTGCTACAGGGACCTCTGAACATCAAATCATGAACTCAACAGACAGATCTGCAGGGGTGAGGTTTGGAAATGGGTTTAATTAAAGCTTTTAATAGGCAGTAACAAACATTACAATAAACAGCTTGTATTCTCAGATCAAGATGTTTCACTGGCTTTGTACTTAGTATTCACTTGGAAACTTCTGAAACTTGGACCATTTGTCTCTTGACCTTTGACCTTCAATCTCTGGGCTTGTGAGAGCTGAGGAAAAACAAGTAGGGAATTGCTGTCATCATGTCTGAAATATGTCTACAGTCTATGCTGGAAAAGTGTCTTGTCTCCAGGAACTTTGTGTTTATACAGAAAATGATCGTTCTGGTAGAGCTCCAGTTGATGCTGATGTGTTGTTAAACCGTAAATGTCTCCCAGCAGTTCAGCTGTTGGAAGAGGGAGTGGAAACTGAGTCCAGTCTGTGTTTCAGATAGCTATTAGACCTGGCGGAATAAACAGGGAGGGGCTGCAACTCAATTATTGTTCCTCTGGTAAACCCACTGAAAAGGGGAAATCCTTCATGTTATTTTGGGGTAAAAAAAAGGCCTCATTCACAATAAAATCCAGTGTAAATGGAAATGTTCCAGTTGCCACTGCAGGACAGGAAGTCAACCATTAAATATCCTCCCAGCAGTCTTCTGAAAGGTGACTCATGTTCGTCTTTTTGTTTGTTTACAGGAAAACCTGAGCTGAGAGGCTACAACCTGTCCCCTCTGTCCTCTGACGAAATGAAAGCCATTAACAGCCTTTTAAAGAGATGACATCAGATCTGGAAGCTGCTGAATATGTCTGAGGACATCGAAACAAAGAGAACAACTGTCAGTTGTGCAGACGGCACTGTGACGTGTTACAGATCTGGATGATCTGACGACACTTAATGATTCACAAAATTGATTTTACAGACATCTTCATAACCTGCCTTCAGGACTTTGTGAAACAAAAAGCTAATTTAAGACAGGAACTATATTTAGGCCATATTCATACCAAAGCAGGGGTTGCATCTGTTGCTGGCAGGGATGTGTTTATTTGGGCTTTAGAAGGGAGACTAGTGAGATTAGTGAAACAGTCAGAAAGTCATTTTTCTCTTTTCTTTAAGACCTTTATCGTTACCAGCTCTATTTCTTGCTATGTTGCTATTTTGCAGCCTTAGGGTGCTCTTTTTTGTTTTTTGGCCCTCAGTCATTCCCTTCTTCATTGTCTGTTGTTGAAGCGACAACATTTTTCAGCCATCTTAAAGAGCTGTCTGCTGTGGTAACCGACACTTGTAAAGGCATCACAAATGCTGAAAAACACACAACTATTGTGTGTACAAACAGCAACACTAAAGTTAGTTCGCATTGCAGTTGTATGGTTTTTGATTGTTAGAACCATATCTGGCACAGTGGCTTGTGGTGCTCTGTAGACACTGGCTGCAGCTTGACAGCTTAATAGTGTTCTAACTTCTGCTAGCAACACACACAGCATGTGTTGTTCCAAATCATAAACATTTCAGATAATGTAGCTAAAAAGCAAATGTCAGGCTAACAGCAGTATTAAACATACAGTTCATTGCTGTTCATTTATCTAAACATTGGATGGTAAAAATGTGGCTTACAACTGAAAGTCAATGTATGACAGCTTCTGGCAGACAACCAAAACGGGTCTTAAAAGTGAAGCCAACATGGAAGTGTCTTAAAACCTGCATTCTATTTAAAGGCCAGCAGGGGGAGCTCTACTGGCTGCAATAACACACAGATACTATGCAGTCGTCTTTTCGTTTCCTAATGAGTTTATGGTCTTAGTCTCTAGAGACTTCAGAACGGTGCTCCACAAACATGGGTGTCACAATAGGTTCACACTTTAACGTCTCAGAATGAGGAAGCATCTTTACAAAGGGGTCAGACAATCACACAGGTTGTAAAGAAGCAGACATATTAACTACCTTTTTTGGTGGTAATCCTCACTGCACAGTAAATCTGCACACAGACACTGTAAGTACAGTTGAAGTTTAGGCAGGAAATTTAAAGTTTACAACCCCAATTGCTTTTGTTTTCTCTCCAAAGTAAGTTTTTCTAACCTGTTGGGAAGCCTGATTGGAATATAAATGACCTTTGAGGAGTGTTTGATGTGACCTCCTGTATTGAGTGTAACTGTTGAATGGGCCACCAGTTGGCAGTGCAGTGTTATTGTACAGCAGAGGGCTGGAGCCTTGTTTCACTCACTGCCTCCACAGCCTCACAGCCAGTCCTCAACTCCGCTGGCATTAATGCAGCCCTGCTTTATAGCCAGCAATGAAATGCACACCAGAATTGGTTCCTGGATGTTCAACAAAATCCTTCAGCCTTGCAGATGTCCAGTATGTTTGCCAGTGCATGATGTTTGTGTTTTCACATTGTTTGTAACTTTTGTTGTCCTTTTTAACTTAATTTACTATGTCTATGAATAAATGCCCTTAATATGTTTATTGTGTTCTTTTGTACAGTGAGAGGCCAGTTAGTCACACTATGCATTCAGTATGTTTTTGCTTTCTGTTTGTCTTTGAACGAGACATACCGTACATCCTTAGTCACCACGCAAGAGATAAACAAGCAGTGGGCTGTCCCGAGGGGGGAGAAACCGTAAATAGGTGTACTGCGGTGTAATTCCTTGGTCTGACATGCCACGGAGCATGAGGAGACATGAATAGCCTCAGGCAGCAGGAGAAAGGGAGAGACAGCGACAGTCACATAATAGGTATTACTGTGTGTGTGTGGATGTGGTGGTATTGGTTCACTCTCTCTCCTCAGACTGGGGTTGCGTGCCACAGCTCTCAGCTCTGAGTGATGAATTTATGAGTCAAAGGATGGGAACCTGCTTATCGCCTCAAATGTTCGATAATTATACCAAACAAGACACGCAACGGTGCTATGTTAAGAAAGCGACACTCTGCATCTGTACTCCACCTGTGAAACTGCAAATCAAGACATTCTCAACTGATGATTGATTATACAATGTTTGTCTCTGCTAGACTACAGGCCAAATCTAATTTTGCCTTAGCAGTATTGACATATTAATCACACTTTGAAGGCCAGACACCAGTGTGTGTGTGTGCCAGAAAGCAGTGATATTGCTGCAACAGTTGGATTAACAAGATCTATAACAAACATATCCAACAGCTGTCACTCTTTGGGAGAGCATTTGGATTTATATGCAATTGATTACAAAAGTACAACCTCTAAACTACCCGCATGGAGAGGTTTTGAGTTTTCCTTGGCGTGTTAGCAGTGTGTGTGTGTGGCTATGTCTCCTTCCTGCTGCGAGACTGAATTGTTTAATGGCTTTCTAGGGGAAAAGATCTAATTTAGCTGTCATTCCCACATCGTCCCAATCTGTGGAGATGGAGTAATGATTTACTGTCAGTTACCGGTTGTTTACGAGTGCAGAAACCTCAGAGTATGCACTGTCGCAGAGCCGCAGAGGTAAATGTGAAGTCAAATCTTAAGGAAATAAGTGGAGGGTCTGGTTTCATGCGTGGGGAAATGCAGACTTTGCTGAGAATTGTGTCAGTTGACTTGAGTGGAGGAAACTGCTTCCCATCAGTCACTGAGGGCATAAAGTGAGAAGTTTACTTCCACATTGTTTCCTAAAGGTTCTTCTTTTTCCAGTAATGTCAGTCCAAATTGTCAGTACCTAAGTTAAAGGGTCAGTTCACCCATATAACCCAAAAGATGTATTTTCCAGTAACATTCTAATTTGACTGCGGCAGAGGGTTTGTTATACAGAACCATCTGGGAACATGTTGTGTGAACAAAAGGGCAGGCACTTGGTAGGTGATTGGATACATAGTCAAACTCTTACCAGTCGGAAGTAAAGCTCGTACATCTTTACCATCAAAAAAGCATTCATGGCGGTTCTTTGCTCTTCTTTCAATGAAGAAATACTCTCCAGTTCTGATAGAACTGATGCTAGCATCATCTACACTAACCTCTTTAGCAGCCGCCATTGCTGTCTTCTCGCTGTGTCACACCTAGCG